TGAATGTGGGAACAATAATTCATATATTTGAGAACTCTATCAACTTGGGGTTTCCAACAACCCCTCACTTTTCTAAGTATCAATATAATAAGTTTTCGGGATCAAAATAATGTCCTAACATGTCTACTTAAAATTAAGAAGGACAAAAACAACTACACAAGTAATTTTAAGAATCATATAAGTATATAGTCAAAAGGATAATTTACTCAAGAACTTCAATTACAATCAAATTCATAGATCAAACAAAACAATAATGACAATAATTCAATATTTTGGGATATTGACAACCCTTCCAATTAAATTAAAACGAAGAATCATTCATTTAAACAAAAATCTATGAGATTTAAGGCCAACCTTACTACTCACACTCATGAGTGAGATAACTTACTACTCCTCACTTAGAAAGACAATTTCACAAATGACCATAGTGCAAACCATGATCTATTCTTCAAACTTCATGCTTCTTTGTTCATGGCTCTTGCAACACAAGATTCCAAGAGGCAAAATAAAAAGTAAGCAATAAGGAGATATTGAGTCTTAAAACCCTAATTACTTCAAAGATGAGTTGAGCTCACATATAGACTAAAGTCCAATTCTTATTTTTAAGGAAACACATCAATCGCTAAACATTTATTTTTCATTTCAATAATTCCAAATTATTTATTATTTAATTAAAATCCAAAAAAAAATAAAAAAAATATTTAATTAATACTATATTACATAAATACGATTTTATAGGTTTCAAATTGAGCAAGTCCGGTGGGTTGAATGAATTCTGTTTTGGTATGCCTAAAAGTCCCACATCGCTTAGGAGTCGAGGCTAAGGGTAGTTTATAAACACCCTCCCTCCTTAATCCACCGAGGTGCCTTTTAAAGGACAAAACCATGACGGCCCAACGAGTGCCAAAGTGGACAATACCTCAAATGCAGCGACCCTAACGATGACAACAAATTTATGGTAGGAACATTTGGCACTAGAAGGAGGGCCTAGGCCACTCTTGCCCCTTAGCATCGACTGGGGGGCTTGTTCCGGTATGCCTAAAAGTCTCACATCGCTTAGGAGTTGAGGCTAAGGGTAGTTTATAAACACCCTCTCTCCTTAACCCACCGAAGCACATTTTAAAGAACAAAATCGTGACAGCCTAACCAGTGCCAAAGCGGACAATACCTCAGATGCGGTGACCCTAACGATGACAGCGGACTTACGGTAAGAACATTTTGGCACCCACCATGGGGCAGGTAAAACTGCATCCCACACCTTGGTTGCCTTGCATGACCGGAAGGTCACGATGCTTAGGTTACTAAGGAGCAATGCGAGAGAGGCTGGTAATGACAGCTCCGATGGTGTCAATGATGAAGGTACTAGTGGGGTTGTAGGCCCTGGTTCAACATTGTAAGAGGTTTTGGTTGCGATGCAAACCCTACGACGTGAGAATGAGGAAGCATGACGAAAAGAAGATGAAGCAAAGTGCCTATGTTGAGAAGACTTGGAGACACCGGATAATGATCCAACATTATAGGAGATCACAACTACGTTAGAAACGTTAAGACAGGAAAATGAAGAAGCACGGAAGAGAGTAGAGGAATATGAGCGGTTGCAGCGAGAGGATCAAGAGCTTTGACAAAGATTACAAAGGGGTCATCCCCAATAGGATGACTCAATGATAATCTATGTCACTGTGATGAGCAAAAATGTCAAAAGGGTATAGGTGGATTAAGGCAGCTTGACAAACGTCTTATTATGGGATGCATTTTTTGTTTTGGGAATTCCCACAGACCGAACAAAGTAGGTCGGCAAAATGTCAATCCGACTTGCTCTTCGCACCTTAGTACTCGAGCATAAAGGGCTATGTACCGTGGTGGTCTCCCATGAGCCAACCCAAAGTAGGTTGGCAAAATGCCGATCCAACATGCTCTTCGCACCTTAATGTTTGAGCATGGAGGGCTATGTACCGTGATGGTTTCCCATAGGTCGACCCAAGGCACATCGACAATACGCCGACCCGATACACTATTCCATCGCGCTCAAGCCGAGAGGGCTTTGTACCGAGGCAGTCTCCCATCGGCAAACCCGAGGCACATCGACAAAATGCCGAGCCCACCGACCAAGATGTCTCTTGGATAAATGTGAAATGTTGTATATCGACAAGGCCTGGAATTATACGTATAGGGACCCAGATATGGGGAGATTCGCTTGCTCGCTTAGACAATCAATAAGATCCCACGATCCGTGGGATGAGCAAGATAATGGTCATAAACACTGAGAGTTACGAATTATTGTCATTATTGAAATTTGATGTAGAATATGAATTATTGAACGAAATAAATCTAGATAAATTTACTCGGTGTAAACGGATCACTCCTCGTATATATATATATATATATATATATATATA